CACACACACACACATACAGCAACTCCCACAGGCACTTGCTGCCAGAGGAGGCAGGCAGTGTGCCACACCCGCACAAAACACAATGCGAGTGCACACAGACGTACATACAGCTACACACACAAATTGAGAGATTTGCCGATATAGTGTTATAGTTTTATGCAAGAAAAAAAAATATTGTTTTAATTTTTATGTTTGTTCAAAGCACTTTTACAGTCTTCAGGAATTATATTTGTGGGGAGGCTTTGGAGGCTTGACAGTGTATGTTCACAGTGCTTTTTGTGTTTTGTCGTAAATTCTTCTTCGTTCCTCCAGTGGAGAACCCATTAGTCTATGCAACGCTGGTTCCAACCCACAGCCAAATCTGATTAACTAACTACTTCATCAAACCCCATTTATGTTCCAAATGAATGTTATTTAACCATTGAAGTGGATATAATAGTGGATGATACAACATTTTCATACAATTGAACTATCAGTGCGGTTTGATCCAGTTTGCATTTAACCACATGGCGGTCCCAACAATGTATACATTACTTTATTATTCAAATAAATGTTGTTAGAATTTTATAAGGCGTACAGTCTAGACCTGCTTTATTGTTATTGTCTTTAAGTGTCCTGAGATAACTTCTGTTCTTCTGCTATACAAATAAAGTGGGATTGAAAGTGAACTGAACGTTCAGTGATCCATTTCACCAGTTTATCCATCACTTTTAGCTAATTAATTCAATTATTTATGTATGACTTCCAGATAACCATTTTATCTCCTCAGCTTTCCAGCTAACTAGTTTTCACGCACTTAGAATTGCAATTAAGAAACCTTAAAATAACTAAATGAACTGTTTTCAATTTGTGGATGTATATTTTAATCAAATCATTAATTCAATTTTTTCAAATTAGTTGAGCTGCTCTATAATCTCTCTACGTATCCCCTGGCAACAGCAGAAGTACCCCCCTGGGGTACAAGTACTCCTGGTTGGGAATCACTGGTCTGTAATATTCATATAATTTTCCAATAGTTTTAACATTGTTGTCTGCCCCTGCCACATAGCCTTACAGTCCCTTTTTTAAATTGAAAGTACAGGTTTAACTTTAAGTCCTAAACTAATATATAAAGATTGTATTAAATGTTGATCATCAATAATGTCTCTAAACATAGCAGTGAAACAGGCGTATATGTTCAGTCTTGATGCGGCTATTGTCATCAGTTAGTCAATAACAGGGGTCTCAAACTGCTGGCTTTTTGTGTGTGTTAAAAAACTGTTAAACTACCTCTTCTACTAAAATAAAAACTTAAACATTTTATTTTAAAAATGTATTATTTTGTTTGGCACAAAATAATGGCAAAGGTCAAAGGTTCCTGTAAATGTGTGCAAATGATTGATAAGAAAATAGCAGGTTTGGGCCTTCATTTGTTGTTTGGCTGAAACAACAAAGATATATATATAGAAAGGGTATAGAAAATATATTGAAACTGCTGTTATAAAGTAGGGCTGGGTGATAATTCGATCTCGATTCGGGATCGCGATAAAATTTTGATCGATTTCGATAATAAGCTGGGAACATATTATTCGATATCACATGAAAAGTAGCGCAACAACAGTATCAGAGTCTGCCTATGATAAAGTAAACTGAAGTTAGAAAGAGTGAAAGCAAAATATTTCAGTGCTATAAAGTATTCACAAGTAGTTAAATTTCACTATTAGGTGTTTATGAGAGTCTAATCCTTAGGGCCTTTCTTTGCTTCCATATCTGTAGTGCTGTTTTGGTTGTGCATAGCGCTGCTATGTAGCGCCGTACTGTGTGCATGTTTGCAAGCTCAGATGTTCATGAATGTTCTGTGAGTGCATTGTGTTGTACAGCGGCAATCATCAGGACATTGTACACCCTGTGACATTCTGCCTTCCTTACTGTGGCAACCCAATCAGCTCCTTGTGCTTGTTAAATGTTACTGTACTTAGTATCATCCAGCCCAAGTGACAACATAACTGCAGCAATTAGCGATCAACAATCAATAGGTTAGAGCTTACAACAGCTTGCCCGTAGGTTGATCAATATATAACTATTAGTTATTGTTCGATTCTAATCACTGGGCTCCCAATGGAATCATCTTTCAGCTGCGCCGCAACCTGCGGCCTCAACTGAAAGTCATTCTTCTCCTTACAAAGCTGTGAGAGCTTTATGGTTTGAGCCATACGTCCATGCCGCGATGTGTGCTTCCTGGCCCATGATTTACAGTCATTCCACTGAGGTAAAGACAAATATGACCCATAAACACCCCCCCCCCCCCCCCC